AATTCCAACATCTTGTGCACGGGTCCAGTTTGGGCGATTTTCTTGTAGGAGACGACTGACAGTTTGGTATAGTTTCGTAAAGCAAAGACGTCTCCTGTATCATCGCTCCATCGTAGATCAAGATCATCCGGGTCAATGTTGACGCCCCATGTGTGAAAGATGTATTGACTAATACCAGAGAGTATAATAATGCTCCGGCATTGGTTGCTTGGAGATGGCCGGGGTTGAGAAGACAAGCGTAGGTGAACATGCCCAACTCTTCAGAATCCTGGAGGTCATGGCCATGAATGACGGCCAGCACCATCATTCGGGTTTGGATGCTGCGAAACCCTTGAAAAGGAGAGATTGTGGAAGCCATGATGAAGGGTGTGAGAATATAGATGGCCAGGATCATCAAGTGAAGAACTTGCAGATAGGATTGAAGCACTTTGTGCTTGAGTTTCCTCCGGAGGAGTGGAGCTAGTCAATTGGTCATGCTGATGGCGGCAGTGAGGACTTTGATGAGGTTTGAGGCGTTGAAGTTCTTATTCAACATAGTGACTGGAATGCCCATCATCACTGCAACTCGGTGGACTGTTTCGATGGCTTCAACGGGTTGTCTACCCCACCATGTATCTGTCTTTGCGATGCTCGTCGTCAGAACTGTTCGTTGGACGTCTGAAAGTGGGAGTTCTTTCAGGCACTTGGCAAAAGGTCGATCAGCCAGACTGGTGCGCATGTTGTCAGCCAACCAGGAATTGGAGGTGGTTGGGACAGTGAGTAGGCATGATGGATCGAAAGTTGGTGGGGATGGAGCGGTGGAGTTTCCCAGTAGTGCACGTTGGATTGGTGTGGACTGGGAAGCAGGGCTTGGTTGGCCATTGCGAGGTGGCGTTGAGATGTCTGCATTGTCATCTCCCAAGCGTTGATGAAGCTCAGCCAGCTGATTGCGGAGATTGGTGATCTCATGTTGGGAATCCGGATCCGTGGGCCTGGTTGGGAGCCAGCCTTGGATGTGCTCCGCAAAGAGTTGTGCTGCATACTTGGTGTTGGAAATCTTGTCCAACGTTTTGCCATCCTGCCGAGCCCGGGTTTGTGACACCCGATCCAGGTCGATGCCACGGTTCCTCAACTGGGAGAGGAGCTCCGTCGCAAACACCACAGCTGCGATGTCCCCAGTGGGAACCAAATATAGCTCCCGTCCATGAGCCAGTTTCCGAAGCCAATGGCTATTGGCTTGTTGATAGAGTAATGCGGCCACTGGCAATGACAATGGATCACATCCTTCAACGTCCAGCTTCTGAGTGAAGGAGGATGAACGGATGACTCTTGGGAAGGTCAGTCCGTTGATCTTTTGGTTGTCGTAGTGATCTCGATCAGCTTGCAGATGTTCATTCAAATCAAAGCCATAAACTCGGGTGGCTTCATTTTTGTCCGGTTTGGAATCCGGACGTGATTGTGCAGTGCTGGTTGAACGTGGCTGGGATGGTGAGATGGAGTTCGGAGGAGTTGGCGAGCACGGTTGTGTCGGAGGACACGATGGTGCCTGAGACTATAGAATGGTAGGTGGAGGAGGCAGGTTTGGTGGAGTAGGTCGAAGCAGTTGTGATGCGGCCCGGCTGGTTGGAAGGGCCGGTGGTGACGCTGACCACATACGCCCCATCATGTAAGGTCCCGACGGAGTTGCTGGCCATTTCGGTTGATGCTGAGGTCGGGGCATATTGTGTAAGGTCCGGACAGCTGTGCCCATAGGCCCACACCATCGAGGAAAGTTCGGCAAAGGCTGACGTTGCCCAGGAGGTTCAAGTCGATTCCGCGCAGGCACAGGGGAGCGCGATGGGTCAGAGTCAGCCATGATATGGTTGGTACTCAGCGAAGGTGGCTCACAAGTCGTTGTATGAACCAAAACTTTACGGGAGACAACCAACACGAGCAAGTCAAAGACAAGCATCAGCAAGAAATCAGGTTACTGCACCGAGTTAAAAAAGAAACGCGAGGTTTTCACACATGGCACATCATGAAAAACGATAGTCAGAAACCAAAAAACAGGAAGCTTCAGATTGGGGCAACCGAGCAGCAGTGACTTTTTTCCAAAATTGAATGTCCAGGTTTCCCTAGAAATACATCAGCCGGTTTCCGGTCTGGAAGTTGATTCCAAAACACCTCAGTGGTCCTTAGTTGATGTCCCGTCCCTCCACATCGGGGAGGCCATCATCGTCATTAGTTCCAGGCGGGACCCCTTCTGGTAAGGGTGGGCTGATGCCTCTGCGTCGATAGTTGACATTGTCCTCAGAATCGGATCCAGTCAGGTGGGAGCTGGTCCCAGATCAACGCAAAGAAGCAAATTCCTGTATGTTTGCTATGGGCCCGCGTGTACTTCTCAAGAAGTGGTGACCACACCGAAGCCAGGAAGCTTTAACTGGGCCATGTCGTTCCCTCCAGCATGAAGGCTCAAATGAGCTTCTTTACCGCGAAAGAGGGCTCCAATGAGCACCGGTAGTTGTCCTTTGCCTTTCTTAGAGGCCCTGTCCAACAGGTCGAGAGCTGCCCACTGAGGGTAAGTGTTGGTTCTACCAACCTCAAGTCCCAAATGGAATGCTCCAGATGTTGGAAGTTGGCATCGTCGAGGATCCTGACGATAGGTCCAATCATCCGGACGAAGGAGACCTTCCAGCAAGATGCATTGAGCACCAAGGACTGATGTGCCTTGGTTCAAGGCCCAAGTGTGGCCATTCTGGCCTTTGAATGGTTCAGGCAACGCAAACCGGCACCGGAATGATCAGAGCCTGATTTTGAGTCGTATTAAGATTGACAACTTGAGCTCTGGAAATATCCACGGTGTCGAGAAGGCCAGCCCCAGCGATGATGTTGGCAGCCAGACATGCCTTGGGTTCTGGGATATCAGGGTTGAGATAAGGCTCAAAGGCCCCCGGTAGTCAAGTCAACCCTAGAGACGGCTGTCAGCATTCCCCAGCTGAATTACGTGCACAATTGAACCTCACCAGAATAACCAAAAGAAAGTGACCACATCTGGAAAGCATGTCCTTTGCCTTTCATCACATGAAACATGACGGACATGACAGCGTTCTGTCTCTCGAGCATCATTGAAAAAAGGGAAGGTTGGCGCGGCTGCAGTCTACGGGTGACAATCAGTCTCACTGGAAAAATTTGAAGCCAGTCACAGCGGCAAACTGTTTCAACACTTAATCGATCGACGGGTGAAAAGTTGAGAAAAGGCTGACTGTTCCACTTTACTTAAACGAATTACTAGGTTGAAAAATGTAAATTCAGAGATCAGGTCGGAGGATCAAATTTTCTACCTAGAAAGGTATTCCCCGAAGGGTTCATACCACCTTGACGAATCCAGCATGAGTCACACACTTGCTCAGAACTGTCATTGCGAATTTTGTTGTGGAGTGCGTCTTACGTGCAAAAACAATTCCTTTAAAACTGACAGGAGTAGGTCGCTGAAAGGACCCGAAAAACAGTGGAAAGCTGCCATCGCCATAGCCAGTGCCCACTGCAAATTAGAGTGAAATGGAAGCTGACCCTTCCCTTTTAACGAAGCCATATCGCTCCCAACTTGACAGATTGCGAAAACCGTACAGGTACAAGGCAACATCAAATTGAAGTCCAAAAGTTCAGGTTGGTTTGAAAAACTGTGTGAAAAATCGACATGCTGGTTCTTGGCTTAGCCGGTCGCCATGTTCGACAAATTGATGTGCTGCAAAATTGGAGTTGAAATAGCAGGTGCGTGACAAAGGCGTCCTCTTCGTCATATCACCATGGAAAGGCAGTGTCTTCGTTGGTGGATGACTGCCAAACCATGCATCCACCCCCTGCAAATTAGAAACATGACAGCATCAAATACCTAAAGGCAAAAAAAGGTTAGAAGTTTTACATCTTCAGATGGTTCACACACACACACAACTTTGTCACACACAGGCATGGCACTAGGTAACATCGACCTGCATTTTGCGTGGCAGGCGTGGCCCTTATTGCACTGGGCTGGGTCTGGTGGCGTGCTTGGTCCCCGTGACGCCGCGGCACTTTGCGGGGCAGGCGTGGCACTTGCTGAGATCGACCTTCGTTCTGCGCGGCAGGCGTTGCGGCACCGAGCTGGATCTGGCGACGCGCTTGGTCCCTGTTGGTCGCTTGTGGCGCCGCGCTACTTTGCGTGGCAGGCGTAGCACTTGGAGACATCAACCTTAGTTTTGCGTGGCAAGTGTGGCACCTGGTGACATCGACCAGGCAGGTGTGGCACTTGTGGCACTGGGCTGGATCTGGTGGCGCGCCTCACGCCACGCTACTTTGCGTGGCAGGCGTGGTACTTGGTGACATCGACCGTCGTTCTGCGTGGCAGGCGTGGCAGGCGTGGCACTTGGTGACATCGACGTTTCCTTTGCCTGGCAGGCGTAGCACTTGGTGACATCCACGCTGCAAGTGAGTCCATCTCTCTCAAATATGACGTTGTCACAGACAACTTTGTCACGCACAATCTTTCATCTTTCACGCATATCTCTCTCCCATGCAACTTTATCGGACACAACTTTGTCACACACAACCCCTTCGCACACAACTTTGTCACACACAATTCTTTCACACACAACTTTGTCACACACAACTTTGTCACACACAACTCTTTCACACACAACTTTGTCAGACACAATCTTTCACACACAACTTTGTCACAATCTTTCACACACAACTATGTGACACACAATCTTTCACACACAACTTTGTCACACACAACCTTTCACACACAACTTTGTCAGACACAATCTTTCACACACAACTTTGTCACACACAACTCTTCACATACAACTATTTTCAAATTATCGATCCTCCACCATCTCCTTTGTCCTTTCTGCTTTCTACGTTCCGTTTCAGCCATTTTTCTGATTATTGGAAGAAGTTGACTTGTGGGGTTATCCGGTCCTTTAATTATAGATCATATTAACATATAGGTATTACATATCCATTATCATGAGTGTATTATATCTCTCTCTCTCTCTCCCGAGGCCAGCTTGAATGAATTCAATGGAGCGGCTCGGTCGGCACATGGCACAACGCCGACATTCACTGCTAGGGATGGGGATAGGAATTTGGGAAACCAACAGACATGATCATGGTTTAAAATAGTGGATACTCTAGGGTAAACTAACGGTTCGATGTGGATATTTGTCTTAATTCTTAATAGATAATTCAACCATAAATGGGCCATGCAAACTCCACATCTATGTTAGTTCAGTAATGGATAATGGAATATAGTGGCTTAGAAATGGGATCGTCTTTAAAGGTGATCCCGGGGGAATCTTGATCAGCTATCATTTGGGGTCACCGAGGGGTTGCTTAAATCCCCATGATGATCATCTGATTGAGTTGCTATTTTCAGGAAACGCCAAATATCAGCTAAGGGAACTGGTGCTTTGGGGCCCGGTGGTTTCGAATGCCCTCCAAAGAGGTGCATCACTATCGGGTATCGCCACCATGGCGAACCGGGCAACCACAGGGCCTCCAAAAAAATATCACATCCAATTATCCCACTGGTTGAAAAATGGGAGGGTTTCTCTTGGATGTTGTAGATGTACAAAAGTTGGTATGTGATGCTCAATGCCTTTCGATGCGTCAATGAAACAGAACGGCGATATTTGGATCAGGTGATCTTTGCAGAGTCGTGCTTGGCGCTATTGGAATACCAGGTTGTTTTGATCTGCTCTATCTATTTCGCGATCCAGCTGTGTAGGTTATGACTTTTCCGGAGACCTCCAGACTTCACGTCCATGAGAGTGTCAAGACGATTCAGACTGATTCTGATGGTCTCCCCCAGTGGCAATATTTTTTGTTGGAAATTGCAGTTGGACCCAGATCCCTGTGAAAATCAGTTGTCAGTTTCGCCCAGTTGTTGAAAACCATGTTGATGTGGGTGCTGCTCATCATGTTCCTTGGCGAATCAAGATCGGCATGTTGATACCAAAAATGGCAGAAGATGCCCATGTTCGTTACTAAAAATTGGGGAAAATGATGATCATTGATCCACCACGGGATGGAATGGGGCTGTTCTCAAGGGCCCAGGTCACAACTGGTGAATTTAAAAGGGAATCCAACCACGGGATGGGCAGGGAACCCGCCATTGCGGAACTCGCTGTTGCTAGGGACAAAATATGGCGTCTTTCATAGATGTTAAAATACAAATGTCTCAATAAATGAGATCACTGAGAAGATGTACTAAATCCAACCTGCCAAAAAGATATCATTTTGGGAAATCAAAAATTGGTGGGATATCCCGTAAAGCCACTTTTCCCTGGTAAAGCTTTAGCAACCCCCAAGATAGAACATTTAGACACTACCAAAATAGTGAGAAATTGTGTTTTCTACGTTTTGAGAGCTGCAAAATAATAGAAAAAAATGGTGGTGTTTTGTTCCGTGTTTGCCAGATCTCCGTGTGGGTGGAAGCCTCGGGTCTGCATCAGGGGACCAAACAGGTTGAAAATCAAATCCTCGTGGTCAAAGATCCCAACCATGTTGATTTCCGGCGTCAATTTCCTCATTTGGCAAGAAAATGATCATGGCTCCATGCTGAAAGATCACCAAGTGGACGCACTGAGTCCCAAAATGACCCGCAGATCATTTTTGGCTAACTTGAAGGCTTATGAATCACTAACAAACTACGTTGTTTTTGGCCGAATCTAAGCCATCAGGGCTTCATTGCCCCACATCTGGCGCCTCCAAACCCTAAAGAGTCACCGAAGGGGTCCCATGACCCTGAAACCAAGAGGTTCATCACCGAGCCACTGATCTGGTGCGCCCAACCGAATGATCCAGACACTTCGCCATGACTTGGGAGAAATTGGGGAAGTTGGCATGGGGAATTTCCCAAAATGGCAGTCTGAATGGGGAGAGTGATGAGTAACCATCAAAAATTTGCTGGTACCCTACTTTAAGGTACATCTCTGTGGCCCAGGTTTGGTTTGTCAACAACAAGGGTTTCCACCGAACTTGAACCAAAAGACATGGGATGCTACTGCATCAAATTGCAAACACGTCTTGAGGGCTTCAAACATCAGTTGTTTGCTGCATCCCTAATAATCGTCCCCTTTGGCTGATATGTTTCCGGTGTCTCAACTGCCAATCGGACTAGAAGGGAGAGTCATAGCTCTGCCTGAAAATAGGGCACCCCTGAATCTGGTTTATAGTTTTCCTTACTAAAATTGCTATTGGGGGGCCTCCCCAAGTATTGAGACACATTTACTAAGTCCATGAAAGACTATCAAACACTATTAAGCACCACTAGACCTCATGAAATCTTATTAAATCTCATTAAACCTTATTAAGCCCATTGAAATCTCGCATGCTATGGCTATATCTCCTCATGAATCTCCCCGGTTGCATGGTCAAGGAGATGCTCTTCCGAACGAGCTGCGAGGAAGTGAAGGAGGTACCGTTTGGGTACCAGGCTTTTCACGCATCCATATGTATAAAAACATACATACACATGTACATGTAGATGGGTAGATGTGTGTTTGTATGTGTTCTGTATTTATACACAGACACATAGTCAAGATCCCATGACCTGACACTGAATCATTTTAAAAAATATGATCCCAATACCTGGCGTATCGGGCGACCCCAATTGAGAGATTCCTTTCTGAACGCTGCAGATTAAGATGGCCTACAGCATCCTCTCTGCTTTGGGCCTCTCGTCTACAGCCGTGCGACATTACCCCTCTAAACTTGAGGAGTGCCTAAGGTAAGCCACGCAATGTGCCGAAACCAGCCAGAAGTGTAGGTTTACACATATACATATATATTTATACATCATATACATATACATATACGTATATGTGTACGTTTACATGTACATAAACATATGCATATGCAATTGCATATGCATATACATATACATATAATTATGAATACGTGTGCGTATACATACACATAATATAAATATACAAATGCATTTACATATACTTATACATAGACATATTCATATACTTATATATATATGCACATACATATACATATATATATACTTATACATGTACATATACATTTACATCCTGTGTATATATCTCAACCCATGGGAATAGCTAAGCATAGATCTTGCAGCGCGTGGGGATGAAGGAGATGGGCATGACAGACCCATATCATCGTTCTTCGTTATTCCATGATTTTGTCCCCATTACTTTTTCTGATCACTACTTCTATGGTTACTATTGATCATTAAGTTATGACTACCAAAAGTGATGAATGACTATAATTGACTATAACGTGTGTTGCTATTTATTTTTTTGCTAAGTTAATTGTGGCTACTCACATTGTGATAGTTTATTATCGTTTCTCATTCCTTTGATATTTGCGATTACCACTCTTTGTTTTGCCAACAATAACTATCATTCATTTCATTATGATCATTACTCTTATTATTGTTATTCTTTCTTACTACGAATCATTTGATTAAAATAAATCTATCACTCATGATTCACTGACCATTCTCGTCCCGAGGCATGTTGCTCTTCTGGGCCCTGCTGTTGGACTTTAGCGTCTTCTCCACACACATCTCAGCACCTTGTGATTCATTGGGATTGAAGAGTGAATTACGAAAATTACTTATCCAGAAATATGGATGGATAGATATCCTGAAATCATGCGGAATTTGTGTCTAGGAAAGAGGGGGGCATGATGGGTTTCAGAAGCAAAAAGAATTGGCTAATGTGGTCAGGGCCGCTGGCATACCTGGAATCTCACAGGATCAATGGAAACCTCGTTGCTGCATTTCTAGTCTTGATACTTTTGAAAACAAAAGTCACCCGCTGATGTTATGAAACCTATATATTTGTATGTGCATCTGATAATATATATATATATAGGTTCGTTCCATCTGACCCTGCTCGTTTTAGACACTCTCCAGCGATACCAAAGGGAATTTTCAGCACGATAGTTTTCAGCACCTGGATGAGCCAACGTCTGTCATTCAGTTCGACTCTTGGCTTAAGAGAAGCTGGGTCAAATATCATCTTGTTGTACATTTATATATATATATACATATACACCAATACAGCCTCTAAAAATTGCTGGCTGAATCCCTGTTTTAGATGAGTGTACAAGTACAAACACCAAACCCCCATTCTCACTTTGTTCCCGAGGATTTCGAATACTCAAGGGTTTGATCTCCCTTCTCTGGAGCAGGACCAAAAAAGCCCTGGACCATTGCCACGCTTGTGTCTGCAAATGAAAGATTCATACCCTCAATTTATGGCTCTTTTGATGCGGAAAACGATGAATAGCCATCAAATGTTGTTTTTTGTCCTCACGCTTTCAGGTACCAAACCTGCTTGTGACCTTCTGATCTTTAAAAGGGGGGCATGGAAAATTCACGGCAAGCCACGAGCTGGGCAAGTCATTTTCTGTCCCCCCCCTTTCGGGGACGCTTTACTGAAATTGACCCAGCATAGAACCCTAATAGCAGAGTTTTGCGTTTCCATTGACGCCAATTTTGTGTTGACAAGTGAGCCAGCTTAGTTGGGAAAATACCATTCCTTCAATACCACCAAGACACCACCGGAACACTGCCAAAACACCCAAAACATCACCGGACACCGTCAAGACACTACGGACACACCACCAAAGTGCCACCAAGACACCAACGACAACCGAAACAAAATTAACAAGCCACCAAGATACCAGCACAACAGACACCACCAGTTCCCGAAAGGACCTGCAAAGGGTTTTTTCCCAAAAAGTTGTTGCCGACATACTTTGTCATGATAAATTTTCCCATCACCATCTTGTGGCATCACTATCAACACAACACCGTCACAACAACATCATCACAGCACCACCGCCATCACCATCATCATCAACAACAACAACAATAACAACATCGTCACTTTTCGTTTTTGGCAAGTTTCAACTTGTGCATCTAAAAAATGAGATACACAGGTGTACATGCAGGTATGTAAATATTAATATATCTTATTGACCCAGGTGTTTAGGTGCAGGTGCATAGATGCAGGTACATAGAATCTTCTTTCAACAACTAGCACCAAATGAGTATATGCAGGTGTCCTGCGGCAAGTATAATGTGTGTATATATATATGTGCAGGTGGGGATCAACTTCTAAAACAAAACGCCGACAGGTTGGTTTATGCAAGTGTGAAGTGGCAGATCTAAATATGCAGGTGGAAATCAACTTCGCAAAGGCACCTACAATTTCAAATGGATTTTCTCAATTTTCTCTGAGGGCTGCAGGGCAGCGTGGATTGATGCCCACGAAACACAACCCTCTCGAGATGGCGATCCTCAAAAACTGAGGTGAAGTTGCAATGTGGCTCAAACCTTTCCCACGAAATGCGTCTCGATCCTCGAAAACTCCCGAAAATGTGATTTTGCGTCGCTCTTCTGTGTTTCGATCGTCAAAACATGTCAAGATTGCGGTGAAATTACGTTCTTTTGCGTTTGGATGGTTTTGCCTATAGATCCTCTTGCAATAAATGCGGTTCGATCGTTGAAAAAAGAAACCGGTGAAATTGACATGTTGTTTGCCCTCGCAAAACCCTTTAGCACAAAATGCGATCATCAAGAGCTGCAGTGAAATTCTGGTTTTGCACCTGCTTGCTGAACTCTTTCGGGCAGCATCGGTGTCGGCCGTAATCATCTCTGTGTAAAAGTATATGTGTGTAAAAGCGTTTCCGTGTGTGAAAGCATCTCCGTGCAAGAAAATCTCTGCGTAAAAATATCGTTGTGTGAAAATACCTCTGTATAGAAGCATGCGCGTTTAAAGACCTCCCTGTGAAAGAGCATGCGTGTGTGTGTGTGTGTGCATTTGTGAGAATGCACCTGTTCTAAAAAACCTCACCGTGCAAAAGTATTTGTGTGTAAAAGACCTGTCAGTGTGTGTCAAAGTATTGTCAAAGTATGTCTGTGTAAAAGTACTTGCGTGTAAAAGAATCTCTGCGCAAAAGAACTTGTATGTAACCGCACTGCGTAACGTATTAGTGTGTAAAAACAACTCTATGTAAAAGCATCTCTGTGCAAAGGCACCTGTGTGTAAACGTGCCACCTGTGTGTAAAGACATCTCTGTGTTGAAAGCATCTCTGTGTAAGAGCACCTGCGTGCAGAAGCATCCCTTTGTAAAATCATTTCTCTTTTTAAACCATCTCTGTGCGAAGGCCCCTCCCTGTGTAAGAGCACTCGTGTGCAAAAGCATCTCCCTGCAAAAGCCTGGTTTGTCTGTAAACGTACAGGTGGGATTGGATGGCCTGAGTCCAAAATCGCTTGAACCCTCCCGTAAATCGTGTGTCCAGCCTCATCCATGCAAAAGTTCCTCTGCCTAGAAGCGTCCTAGTCTAAAAGCGCCGGTGTGTAAAAGCATCTCTGTGTAAAAGTATCTGCGCAAAACACCTCTTCCTAAAAGTATCTGTGGGTTATCTGTGTGTAAAAAACACTTCTGTATACATGTATTTGTGTGTAAAAACGCCTCCGCATAAAAGTATTTGTGTAAAAGCTTCTCTGTGCAAAGGATACTCTGTGTCAAAAGACTTCCTGCGTAAAAGAGCATGTGTGTAAAAGCATTGCTGTTTAAAGGCATCTGTGTGTAGAAGTACCTGCGCGTCTATGTGTAAAAGTTCCTCTCTATAAAAGCGTCCCTGTTTAAAGCACCAGTGCGTAAAGGTAGCTGCGCGGAAAAGCATCTCCGCGTAAAAGCATCTGTATGCGTAAACGTTTGTGTGTAAAAGCATGTCTTTGTGAAAAGCATCTCTGTGTAAAAGCACCCGTGTATAAAAGCATCCCTGTGTATAAGCATCCCTCTGTGTAAAAGCATCTGTGTGCAATATGTTGGTCATGCGGTGTTAGAATCTCGATGTGCGCAAATTGCTCGGTATTTGCAGAATTTTGCAGCAAGGACCTGTGCACTGCATGGCATGCAACATCATTACGTGGAACTTTGCCATCCCACAATTCTTGCAGCAGCGCGAAGCTAAGATCTGCAAATTGCATGATGCTTGCATGACTTGGATTCATATCTGAAAACTGCGCTGTGACACCTTTCAGAATCAAAAAACTGTACACTGCAGAATGCTTGCGGCGTTTCCAAAAATATAACTTGGACAGCACGTGCAACATACTGGGGCAGAATGCCGTGCATCGCATGGTGTCTGAATTTTATTGAAACTATCACTTGCAAACAGCATGGCACGCGCAGCATTTTTGAAATTGACTTCTGTAAGTTGGATGCTACTTTGCGGCTTGCTGAAGCTCAAAGCTGCAAGTGGAATGGTATTTGCAACATGTTGGAGTTATCATCTACACATTGCACATACTGCATGGTGTTTGCAGCGTGTTCCGCTAAAATCTGTAAATTGCACGGCGCTTGCCACATTGTGAAACCAACGCTTGTAAATTGCGCGGAGCTTGCAGCTGTTTGAAAGTAACATGTGTAAATTGGAAGGTGCACGCAGCATCTTGGAGCTAGGCCGTTGTTTCTTGCTTCCTGTCGTCCTTCCTTCCTCCCTCCCTCCTTCTTCCCCCTCCTGCTGTCGAATTGTTTCCTTCCTTCCTTCCTTCCTTCCTGTTTGTTTTTTATGCTACTTGTAATACGTTTTCTTTTGATACATCTGCGTGAGAGTCGCGGCGCGAGCGTACAGTAGCATGCAGCAAGCACGTCAACTCCTCTAGTGCGGTGAGCAGCCCACAGCCCTGGTTGCTGCGTGCTGCGTGGCATCAGGGAATGTTCGCAATTTAGTTGTTTCGGTAGAAGCCTCAAAGTAAAGTACGTTAATTGATTCCAAACAGACGTTAACATCCGTCCCGACTCCGGCCCCACCCAAGCCTGCCAACGGAAACCGACTTGACATCGTGATCATCATCATCACCATGACCATCACCATCACCATCATCATCATCATCATCATTCATCATCACCATCATCATCATCATCTACCTGATCCTCATCCTCATCCTCATCCGCATCATCATCATCATCATCATCATCCTCATCATCATCATCACCATCATCATCATCACCATCATCATCATCACCATCATCATCATCACCATCATGATCATCATCAATACCACCAACTCCATCACAATCACCATCATCATCACCATCATCAACACCATCATTATCATTGTCGTCGTCATCATCACCATCATCATCAGCTATCATGATTGTCAGCATGACAACAGGATGGAACCGTTGCAATTCCTTGGTGCATGGTGTGGCCAACCCAGAACACCCTCAAGATTTGAGCGACCCGCAGGGAAACGCCACCGAGACACAACCAACCTACCACCCGCACAACCGCCTCGACACCACCAACATGATGCCACCAAGATACGACCAAGACACCGGGAACACTTTGTATCAGCATACAAATGGCTGAGACACCACCAACGCACCACCGAGTTACCATCGAGGCACCACCTGGACACCGTGAAGGCACCACTGAGGCACCATCAAAAGAGCAAAACGCCATGCAGACTTCCAGACGCCACCGAGAGACTACCAAGACATCACTGAGACATCACAGAGACACCACCAAAACATGACAGAGACACCACCGAGACACAAAGATTGCCAAGGGAATTGCCAATCCTGAGTGCCACCAAGGCACCACCAAGACATCACCAAGACCTCCACAAACACCACCAAGACACCACTGAGACACCACCGGACTATTGGGGAAAAACCAGCAAGAAAGCAGCAAGAAAACAGCAAGAGATGCAAGAAAGAGACCAGCAAGAGACCATCAAGAGACCAACAAGAGACCAACAAGAGACCAGCAAGAAAACAGCGAGAGACCAGCAAGAAACAAGCAAGAGACCAACAAGAGACCAACAAGAGACCAGCAAGCAACCAACAAGAGACCAGCAAGAAACAAGCAAGAGACCAACAAGAGACCAACAAGAGACCAGCAAGCAACCAACAAGAGACCAACAAGAGATCACCAAGAAACCAGCAAGAGACCAACAAGAGACCAGCCAGAAACAAGCAAGAGACCAACAAGAGACCAACAAGAGACCAGAAAGAGACCAACAAGGGACCAGCAAGCAACCAGCAAGAGACCAACAAGAGACCAGCAAAATACAGCAAGAGACCAACAAGAGACCACAGAGAGACTACCAATTTCAATACACCACCGAGACACCCCACGGAGACACCGTCGAGCCACCACCGAGACATCACCGAGACACCGCCGAGACACCACCGAGACACCACCGAGACATCACCGAGACACCGCCGAAACACCACCGAGACACCACCGAAACACCCCGAACACCACCGAGACACCACAACGAGACACTAGACACACCACCACCACCGAGACACCACCGAGACACCACCCACCGAGACATACCACCGACACCACCGACACACCACGAGAGACACCCACCGAGACCACCACCGAGACACCACGAGACACCACCGAGACACCACGGAGACACACCAAGACACCACCAAGATACACCACACCACCGAGACACTACCGAGACCCACCGAGACACCACCAAGATACGTCCGACACCACACCGAGGACACGACGAGACACCACCGCGAACCGCCGAGACACCACGGAGACACCACCGATACCACGACACCACCGAGACACCACCGAGACACCACCGAGACCACCAGAGGAGACACCACCAAGAGACATCACCGAGACACCACACACCAGACACCGAGACACAAGATACCAGAGAACATCACACACCACCGAGACACCACCGAGACACCGCCGAGACACCGCCGAGACACCACCGAGACACCACCGAGACACCACCGAGACACACCGAGACACCATGCACCGAGACACCACGAGCCATCACCGAGACACCACCGAGACATCACCGAGACACCGCCGACCGATACACCACCCGAGACACCACCAAGATAGTCGACACCACCGACACGAGACACCACCGAGACAACACCGAGACACAGCCGAGACACAACCGAGACACCACCGAGACCCCACCGAGACACCACCGAGACACCCCGAGACACCACCGAGGACATAAAAGAGACACCACGAGACACCACCGAGACACGAGACACCACCGAGACACCACCGAGACACCGCCGAGACACCACCGAGACACCACCGAGACACCACCGAGACACCACCGAGACACCACCGAGACACCACCGAGTCCGACACACCACCGAGACAGGAGACACCACCGAGACACCACCGAGACACCACCGAGACACCGCCCAGGCCGGCAGCCGTGAACCCAACGGTGCCCGACCGCCTTTGGACTTGACAACCCCAAGCTAACTGGGGAAATAGAATGCCAGAAATGGAGTAAATATTTAAATATGGTACAACCCATCAATTGTACGGATAGACAAAACCCAATGATGGTTGAATATGACCAAGACCATTGGTACCCCCTGCCCTGGACCTTGCAGGCATTCCTTCTGGTGTGTGGCAATGTTATTGCAGAGGCGGGCATCATTAGGATGTCCCGGACTCGAAGTCCGGAGAGTTGTTAAGGTGAATCCCTCTATCTGTTCCACAATGGTTGTATATTTCCATCATGCACAATGGTTGAAGATACATATCATATCTATACATATAATTACATTTATATATATATACAAATATCTACATAGATATACATACATTTACATATATTTACATATGTATGTGTGTATGTTACGTAAATATAGATATATATATATATATATATTTATTTATATTTATTTATTTATTTAATTAACATATTAATATATATATTATTTTATTATTTAAAATAAAATGGTATATAAATATGTACATATATATATTTATTTATTTGCATATATGTATATGTGTGTTCATTTTTCACATACATATATTTGCATATTTATATATATCTACATATTTACATACATATATATTCGTTTACACGTGTAAATATATACATATATATACACACATTTGTATATACAAATGTTCATATATACATTTGTACATATCTACATATATCATATACATGCATGCATGCATGCATGCATGCATACATACATACATACATCATACATTACATACATACAAACATACGTACATACATACATACATTACATTACATTACATTACATTACATTACATATATCTACATTTACATTCATACATTCATACATACATACATACATATATACATAGAAACATTTCAACATATGTAAACATATACAATGAGGGGACCTGGCGTGGAAGGTTGTTTTGGTACAGTTACGCGGTCCTATTTCCAGGGCTAGGTTCCGAGCATCATGTCAAGCCAAGGCGCCTTGTTTGGGCAAATTCCCTGATACAACGCTTTCCTCCAAAATCATTCTGGCGCCCTTTCCGCCCCATCCTCGTCCCTCACCCTCCCACCGCCCCTGTTGCATTTGACTTAGTAAGGCTCAAACGTCCGCAGCGTCCACGCAGTTGGACGGGCGTCCGCAGCATCCGCACAGTGGCAGGGCATGCCACAGTGAGCAGCCCACAGGCAAGGACTGGGCGTCCATAGGGTCCGCTCATTGGATTTTGTTGGTTTCGCGGCGTGCCAGACAGATCGGCCCGAAGAATTGGGCTTATCCGTAGTTCACTGTCTCCTTGCTATGCGTCTGGCCCGCGGAGGCAATTGCGCATGAGACCCGGTTCTGGAAACAGGCCCCTGAAAGAGACATATTTTAGCCTTCTACAGCGTGTACCCTCATAGTATCATGGATTGCCAGCCCGCATTGGTGGCAGCACATGTACCAGCGTATCTCTCCTTGCTGCCTATACGGAGCTCGATGTAGCAGCTCCCGTGCGTGTTTTGCGACCCCATAAAGAGGCTCAGATTCCGGACCCAGAAATGGGGCCGCAAAACAAGAGAAAGAAACCCGGCCTCCAAATTCGTGGCCCCATTTTTGGGCCCATGGTCTGGGCGCCCGCCTGTCCGTAAACTGCGTGCTGGACGGCAGCAATTGACGCTATTTATTCAATGTTTTTTGCGCTTGGTTGCAAAAAGATGCTGGTTTCACAGTATATACATATAGATGCATATATATATTATACATATATACATGTTTGCATAAATACATTTTTACATATATACATATTTGCATATATACATATACACATATTTACATGTTGGCATATTTAAATATCAACATATATACATATGTGTACATATATACATATTTACATATATATATATATACATCTTTACATTTTTGCAGATATACATAAATATATATATATACACATATTTTAATATTTACATATTTACATATACACATACATACATATATACATATATACATATATCCATATATACATATATATATATATATATACATATTTACAAATATACATATATACATATACAAATTAACATATTTACATATACATATATACATATATACATATATACATACATACATATATACATATTTACATATATACATATTTACATATATACATATCCACATATATACATATATATATGTACATATCCACATATATACATATCTACATATCTACATATATATATATACATTTACATATATACATACATACATACATACATACATGTACACATATATACATATATACATATATCCATATTTACATATATATACATATATCCATATTTACATATATATACATAAATACATTTTTACATTTATACATATATACATTTGCATATTAACATATTTACATATACATATATACATATACATATTAACATATTCACATATACATATCCACATATATACATATGTATATATGTACATATATACATATATACATATATACATATTTACATATATACATATATACATATTTACATATATACATATACATATTTACATATTTACATATATACATATTTACATATTTACATATATACATATATACATACATACATACATACATACATAGATACATAGGTACACATTGCCACTTTTTCATATTTACATAGTTACATTTTTACATATATACATACATACACATATACTTTTTTTACATTTATACATATCTACAAGTTTTCATTTTTACATATATACATGTATACATGTTTACATATATACATATTTACATTTTTACATATACATGTATACATATATACATACTTACATATTTACACATTTACATTTGCATTCACATTTGCATATACGAATGCAAATAGACTTCCACATACAAATAGATATATATATATATAAATGTATAGATATTTGTATATATATGTTTACATATTCACATTCTTACGTCCCCATATGACCAAAACATCTTAGCAAGTCTGTGTGTTCGACATCAGGTGGGTCTTTTCCTCCTGGCCATGTTCTTTTTACTCTTGGCCTTCTCCACCTCCATCAGCGCGCTGAATCATCATTTGGTGGCCTTCGATGGAGCGCCTTTGCTGTTTCAAAATGTTGTTGTTTTTTAAGCGATGGTTGTCCTTAAAATGGTTAAAACCAACCAAATATGGTTTGAAATGGTTATCTTATTCGTTTTTAATGGTTTGAAATGGATGTTCATCCCCAAATATGTTGTATTTCACTCGTCTCGATCCATATGGAAGGCCTGGCCCCTGTCGATTGAGGTGCCGGTGTGGATGCGGTCCCTATTTCAAATCGTCATTGGCATGTTCCCGGTGAGCAACTACTATCTCTTCGAGGCACAAGCTTATGGTTCGAGAATTTTGGTATGTGTTTGTTGTGCCAAAATTCTGCACCCACCATGAACATAGGAACATTTTCATACTCATGCCTATTCCATCATGTTCTAAGAATCAAATTAAATTGTTTAAGATGTTTAAGCGTTATCGAAAATGTGCTAAGTGGAAGAGTTGCTGGAGGTTTTCCAAACGGAAGATGTTGAGTCACCTGCCAAGGCCAATTTATGGATGATTTCTGTTGCCACAGGAAGAGCCGGCGATCATGGCGTTCTTAGCGATTTACATCATCTTGGTCTTCATTTTCCTCATGTTTCTCGGGACAACCAGATCTTGTTTGAGGCCATCGTCCCAGTTTAATGGTGATAGTTTCTATGGTGAAACATGGTTTATCACTGTTGCTAACCTCACAATCAATGGTATATCTCCATGCGATTCTTGTTTTGTGTTCTACAGTCACCATCTATGGATCCATGTCAAAACCATCGGAACCAGAAGTGCACAGACTGTTCATCATCTTCTCCAGATAAAGCCCATGATTTTCGCTTGGAAATCTACCCCTAGGGGAGCTGTAAAATTCACCCAGCTTTCCTGAAGACTTCAATAGACATCTCAAGTTCCAGGACTGAAAAAAAAATAGAAAATTCACATATTTGAATGCCCACTGCCATCGTTTCCTGTAAAATTCTATATCCATCGGTCAAAATCCACTGGTTCATCATGAGTCCCTTTTCAAATTTATCTTTTAGGTTATCCTCCATTTCCAGACAAACCCAAAAAGTAATCGACCTGGTTCTATAAATCCCAAGCTGATTGGTAGTTTCACAGATCTGTATTTTCAACAATATTCGGGATCATAATCCCCAATGACGTAATTCAGATAGGCTGGAACCATCAACCAACCAGTGATTATATAATTTCATGGCAATGGAATTGTTTCCAATTTACAGATGATTTTCTTGTTTGCCCATTGAGAGGAAATTCCAGCCATTGTTTGTTACCATATCTTGGTTCTTATTTTCCCATTATCTAATCCCCATGATACTGTGGATGGAAGAAATCCTGCACCATTTGGTAGATGGTATATCCTGCTATAATCCCATTCTTTACCGTGTTTCATAGTTCCCAGTAGTTACCAATAGTTACCAATAAATGGTTCAGGATTTCTTCCATCAACAGTATGCCCATATTTTGATGGTATCCCCCATAAAATGTCCATGCTGCCAACTGGTTCCAGTCTTCCACCACAAGGAACCTGTTGGTGGCGCAACTGAACCAATCCTACCACGGCATGTTCGCCGATATGATGCCTGGCTTTTAACCACTCAAAATGGAGGGTGTAACGGTGATGGTGATTTCAATGGTGGTTAATATTGATGAATACAATTTTGAATGAACCAAGTGGGGGGTTCCTGAGTGAGAGGGAATTCCAAAATCATCCAAGTGATTGGCATTTTTTTGATCGGAAAACTCGATGTTGGTTTGGGACACATCCGGTCTTGACGATGGCTGGGAATGTCAATGGTATCCCAAATTGGCCGAACTCTTCAGGTGGCAGGTGCCAACTATTTGGATCTTCGCCAGCGCGCCAGAGTTTTGACTTTTTGACCATCTATACATGGACAATCCCGATTTGTAGTCAAAGACATGTGGAAAAGTGAGGGAAAATGAATCAGATTGCACAAATACATTCAGTTGTGAGGCTGGCGGAGTCATAAGCAAACCAGCAAGCGATCGGCGCAACCGTGCAAGCAAGAGGCTTGCAGAGGCTTGCAGAGGCTTGCAGCTGGCCGTGACGCTCGCCTCACAGCCGTGGGGCCGCACAGCATGTCCGCCGTTGGCCGAGATCATGGACGATCCGCAAGCCATGACAGCTTGGTGATGGCCCAGCAGGTGTGGCAGATAGCCCTCCAACATGACCGGCCAGAATGGTTTTCTGGTTGGTTTTTAAGGCACATCTCAAGGGGAAACCGACCAAGGAGAGGAGTGAAATGTTTCGGAGTTGAATCAACAGGGGCATTGTTGCAACATGTTGCAACAAGATCTGAGATTTTAACATAATTTCAACATATTTGAACAGATTTTAACCAAAATTGGAGTACACATTGACGTCCCGGCTTGGGATGATGGGTTTTTTTTGGCCATCAAAAACGTAGCGGCTACCGGAGGAATTTCTAAGATCCAACCAGAAATTTAAAGTAAGAAGTTTCGTAAAGTGTATCCACAAAGAGGAGATAGCTTAGAAAAGTGGTTTCATATGTTTTTCTTCATTGATCGTAGCCATACAGATCTCGATTTTTGGCCTTTGGGGATTAGATGGCTAAACATCATACATTCCATCCAATCCCGTCCCCCTAAAAAAAGGCCCCCCCATTCTATGGTCCCAAATATGGTGTAAATTCCCGAGTAAAGCATGGTTTCTGGGAGGTGTTTAGTATGAGGAGGATGGGATTATATTGCTTGGTGCTATGAGATATTTTGATGTCCCATCCTACGTGGGATTTTGATCTCCACATGCGCATGTCTCCAGTGGGGTTTGCTTAACCACCATATTTTTGTTGCAAAAAAACAGGATACTTCCAGAAATTCAAAAATATGTCCCATGTTATCCCAGTAATTCCAATTATAACCCCATTTCGGGATGCTTGGAATCCATTTATGGTGAAGTCCTCAGATCAGCTGCGGCCCGACTGAGGAAGGGAGTTGCCCGACTGAGGCGGCAAAGTGTCGCTGGGCAGCAACATGCCTAGCTGGTTGGTGGTTTGGAACATGAATTTTATTTTTCCATTTCATATATTGGGGATAATCCTTCCCATTGACGAACTTATAGTTTTCAAGATGGTTGAAACCACCAACCACCTAGTATAAGAATCAGATTACTATGGTGTAACAATACGATGATGCATCGCTTGTACCCAACTAGCTAACATACATTTGATAAAGAGAAACCCCCATCCCAAGAGAAGAGTAGTCTTCCAACCCCTCATGGCAGGAGTCTATCTTAGTTGGAGTCAAAATTTCAGGCGAGAACCGAAAAAAATCGGCCGTAGCTGCAATGATTTGGATCATATCCCCACTGGAACTCTCCAAGGTGATTTGCAGTGTCATGGCGTAGCTTGGTGCTGCTTACACCATTTTTCATGGGGAAAGGTGGAGTCTGGGTGCAGTCTGCCAATGGGAGGCAAAGAATTTGGCAACTGGGAAAATCAACTGATGGTTGTCATGTTTACACTTTGTGAATCAACTGCGGGACACCTCAGCTTAGATATTCAAAAAACCACGGGTCTTGTGGGAGGGCTCTGGTGAATGGAGCGATTCAGAGCTATGGGTGTCCATGTTCCCTAATGGGAAGCCAGGGGTCTCTGTGGATCTGGGACCTGGAAATCATGGCTGACATGATCAACTTGGGCTTTTTAAGGTCCCCTAGAACCAACCACTAGGAATGAGATCCCAATCATGGCTGTGTATCATGCCCAATGCCGATATTCAGGTGGGATGAACATCCCAGCAAATCCCAGGCATTTGGTCCATCCCCATGTGAAGAAAACGTTGAAGTTGTATGAATTTGTTTCATCTTATTCTAGGTTTTTTCCAGTCAAAACAGGATATCCTGGTCTTGGGGAGAGCTCGGCAAGCTTGAGACCTGTGTACGGTCAGTACAGGAAACGAGGCACTTTGTCAGATATCCTTGCTCGGGTCGTGAGAGATGATGCGGAAGAACTTGTTCGCAGATGTTATAACATGTCTGTATACTCTGGGCTGGAAGCACTACTGTTTTTGTTGGGCTTGGCACCTACAGAGGAGGAGACTCAGAGGAAAGACCTTAAAGAAGGAGATCCTTCTCTCCGAGCAAGTCATTCCCTCAACGGAGATGCAAGAGATGCTCAAGTGGTCGGATGGGGTCCAGAGATTGGAGTCACAAAGTACTTGCTGAAGAAGCTCCGCATCCCTCATTTTCTCCCCGACCTGAGACAGCTGTCCAGCAGCTGTGGATGATGAAGAAGAATCAGGTTGTAGCAACCCCCAAGAAGGTAGAAAAGCCATCTGCCACGGTTTTAGTGGGTTGTTGAAGGGGGCAGTTCCAGTTGTAAGTGGATATATCATCACCATAGGAATAGGGGTGCCATATCCCAACTTCTGGTGTTTTTGTTCATGGTTATAGCCATTTGTTTGCCACCCCCAAATATGATTTTATTGGGTGAATATACATATACGCACATATACATATACGTACATATACATATACATATACATATGCATATACATATACATATACATATGCATATACATATATATATATATTATTGCATATAATATCCCAATAAGAGCATGGGTGTAAGATGTTGCATGTATCCCCAGCTGCACCCCAAGCTGTGGCTTTCACAGGTCGGCTCCCAATAGTCGATGGAAAGCCGTCCTGTCGTGCTCTGGCGGGAAAGTGAAGAGATGGTTACCATGTGGTATGGAAATCCATGGGCCCAGAAAACAATCTAGAAATGGTGGATGTTCATTGATTTTCCATATATATATATATATATGTATTCATTTATTTATTTATCATTTATTTGTATTTATAGTTACATTTATAATTTAATTTTGACTTATTTATATCTAGTTAATTATATTAATTTATTTATTTTCATTGATTTATTTATATATTATATATACACACTGATCTATACATATAATATATATATATATACATATTATATATATATATACATGTATGCATATATATATATACACATCGTTTTGGTGTAGAATTCAAGATCTTCATGTGTAGGTGGTGTACTTGCAATGTAAGCAGACAAAATGGTTTTGGGTCAATCAGAAGTGTTTCCTTGAAGCCTCCCAAATTCACTGAGCGTGCACAAACAACATGTTTTGGAGATTCAATTCGACACACCTGGTTGGTGATGTTCATCATGTTTTGAATACATATGTGTGCACATGTACATATATATAGATCAGTACATATATAATGTATATAAACATAATATATATATACTCATCTATTATATATCATATATGTGATATATATATTATCCACATGTTCCAGCCCAAAACTGAGATGAACCATCCATGGAGCGGTTGACTGTCCGATTTGTCCGCGCCAAGGTCACTGGGTTTTGAGAAGCGTTGCGAGTTCAACGAAGGCGGGATCGTTTTGGAATAATTCTCTCAGAGCCGAGAAACAGATGGAGGTCAGCAGCAAAGATTTCGGGATATAATGATACCATGAATATGTGGTTTATCCACAATGACTATGGCTTATTTATCCATGATTTTTTGGTTTATCCGCATAAATAAACTGGTTGGCGCTTTGGAATGATTTTTATTTTTCCATATATTGGGAATAATCCCAACTGGCGAACTCATATTTTTCAGAGGGGTAGGGATACCACCAACCAGGATATATAACATGATATGCGCAACAAGAAATAAGACAGAAATTGATGAAGAAGAACATCGAATTGTGGGCTTTACCCGCAAAAAGGAACATGGTTCTGTGTTCCATCCGACCATGATGACATCAGAGGCTACTCAAAACTACAGGAGCCCCAAAACCTTGGTTCGTGCTTATTTGAGTTCAAAATTCCCCCCTATGATTGCTTACTAGAGTTGGTTACCCTTTGGTAAACATACCAAAAACTATAGAAAACCATGATTTTTGATGGGTAAATCAACTATTCCTGTGGCAATGTTCAATCACTACGTTAATTTACCAGAGGATAAACCACATGGTTTATTGGGGTTTATAAACTAAGCCACGGAATAGTCAAATTATCCAAGCTGGCACTAGCAGCTCTGATGGGGATGGGGATGTCATTCAGAGAATCGGGCTGATACATTTCGACAAGAAAATATGTATTTAGAAACCAAAGATTTAGTGTGCCCTTCGATATTACAAAAATATACAAAAACAACAGGGCATGTTTGGTGAGATTGTGGAAATATCGGTATTTCCAGTTATCATCCATCTTATTTCACAGGATTTTCTATTTTTCAACCAATCATCTATGTTATTTCATAGGATTTTCCATGAAACCATCCAGCTTTTTTGGGATATCCGCACTAACACAGGTGACGTTGGCGTCGCGGGAGGCATTCAAGTCTTAGAGCCTGCGATGCTGGGCCTTTCGATGGGGCCTCCTGGGAAGCTGTAAACTTTTACGATGAGGCAAAACCATGGGGAAACTTCGGAAATCATCTTGAAATGCTGGGTAAACTCCACACGGTAATCTTTACAGGAGGGTAATGGGATTATAACATATTATTCAAAGGAAGTTTAGGGGGAGAAACTTCCGTGTTACGGACTTTTAGAATGTCAGGGAAAGAGTTAGTCAAAGAAAGAGTTAGCAAAGAAAGAGTTCGTCAGGGAAAGAGTTAGTCAAAGAAAGAGTTAGTCAAAGAAACAGTTAGTCAGGGAAAGAGTTAGTCAAAGAAAGAGTTAGTGAAAGAGTTAGTCAAAGAAAGAGTTAGTGAGGGAAAGAGTCAGTCAAAGAAAGAGTTAGTGAGGGAAAGAGTTAGTCAAAGAAAGAGTTAGTCAGGATATATGAGGTAGTCAAAGAAAGAGTTAGCAAAGAAAGAGTCAAAGAAAGAGCAAAGAAAGAGTTAGCAAAGAAAGAGTTCGTTAGGGAACGAGTTAGTCAAAGAAATTGTTCCCGCAATGTAAATGGGATTGCAAGTGGTGCTGGTGGATGAGTTGCCGATGGAGTTTTGAAGGAAGTCTCGCACGAAATGCGGTTTTGAGAGATAGCAGATGCACGAAACCCTGTGTTTTTCCAGACAAAGTGCGTCCCCGAACGTCGATGATGTACCTCTGCGGTGCGACGGGTGCGAGACGGTCTCGTGTGTGGTCGGACCATTCTCGGATCATGGTCGGACCATGGTCGGGTCGGTTCCGCATTGTAAATGGGGTTTCAAGTGTTTTTCGTGCATGTGCGGTCGACAGAATTCCATTGTGATTTGCAACTGTAGGATTGTTCCCGCAATGTAAATGGGATTGCAAGTGGTGCTGGTGGATGAGTTGCCGATGGAGTTTTGAAGGAAGTCTCGCACGAAATGCGTTTTTGAGAGATAGCAGATGCACGAAAGTCTACTATGTTTTTCCATACAAAGTGCGTCCCCGAACGTCGATGATCTACCTCTGCGGTGCGACGGGTGCGAGACGGTCTCGTGTGTGGTCGGATCATTCTCGGATCATGGTCGGACCATGGTCGGGTCGGTTCCGCATTGTAAATGGGGTTTCAAGTGTTTTTCGTGCATGTGCGGTCGACAGAATTCCATTGTGATTTGCAGCTGTAGGATCGTTCCCGCAATGTAAATGGTATTGCAAGTGGTGCTGGTGGATAAGTTGCCGATGGAGTTTTGAAGGAAGTCTCGCACGAAATGCGTTTTTGAGAGATAGCAGATGCACGAAAGCCTACTATGTTTTTCCATACAAAGTCCGTCCTCGAACGTCGATGATCTACCTCTGCGGTGCGACGGGTGCGAGACGGTCTCGTGTGTGGTCGGATCATTCTCGGATCATGGTCGGATCATGGTCGGATCGGTTCCGCATTGTAAATGGGGTTTCAAGTGTTTTTCGTGCGTGCGCGGTCGACAGAATTCCATTGTGATTTGCAACTGTAGGATCGTTCCCGCAATGTAAATGGGATTGCAAGTGGTGCTGGTGGATGAGTTGCCGATGGAGTTTTGAAGGAAGTCTCGCACGAAATGCGTTTTTTTCTCCATTTTGGCGCTAGTGATTTTCCTTCTAAAAATCCTTTTAAAAAGTGCTTCAAAATCTTCTTTTTTTCGCTCTGGCGTCGAGATCCGGTTTTGAAGCTACAATTTCCGACGCCGTTGCGCGTAGTTCTATTGTGTTTTGCAACTCACATTGTAATGGCTGCGTCAAGGTTGCTTCCTGCTTTGGCTGTATGCGTAATACTATTGTCTTTTGCAGCTGGACTTCGTAAATCGTTTTGGAGTGGCTGCATGAAGGCTGCGAAATGGATTTGTTAGCAGATTTTCTCCATTTTGGCGCTAGTGATTTTCCTTCTAAAAATCCTTTTAAAAAGTGCTTCAAAATCGTTTTTTTTTCGCTCTGGCGTCGAGATCCGGGATCCGGTTTTGGAGCTACAATTTCCGACGCCGTTGCGCGTAGTTCTATTGTGTTTTGCAACTCAGTCTCCGCAGATCGCATTGGAATGGCTGCGTCAAGGTTGCTTCCTGCTTTGGCTGTATGCGTAATACTATTGTCTTTTGCAGCTGGACTTCGTAAATCGTATTGGAGTGGCTGCATGAAGGCTGCGACAATGATTTGTCAGCAGATTTTCTCCATTTTGGCACTAGTGATTTTCCTTCTAAAAATCCTTTTAAAAAATACTTCAAAATCGCCTTTTTTTTCGCTCTGGCATCAAGATCCGGTTTTGAAGCTACAATTTCCGACGCCGTTGCGCGTAGTTCTATTGTGTTTTGCAACTCAGTCTCCGCAGATCGCATTGTAGTCGCTGCGTCAAGGTTGCTTCCTGCTTTGGCTGTATGCGTAATACTATTGTCTTTTGCAGCTGGACTTCGTAAATCGTTTTGGAGTGGCTGCATGAAGGCTGCGAAATGGATTTGTTAGCAGATTTTCTCCATTTTGGCGCTAGTGTTTTTTGTTGCACGTAGGTTTAGAGCAGTGTGAAGTGTGGGGCGTGAAGAGTGCAGTGTGAAGTGTGCAGTGTGAAGGAAGCAGTGGGAAGTGAGAAGTGTGAAGTGTGGAGTGTGAAGTTTGTGAAGTTTAAGTTTGGAGTGCGAAGGCGCAGTGTGAAGTGTGAAGTGTGAAGTGTGAGGTTTGGAGTGTGAAGGAAGCAGTGGGAAGTGAGAAGTGTGAAGTGTGGACTGTGAAGTGCGAAGTGTGAAGTGTGAAGTGTGGAGTGTGAAGTTTGAAGTTTGGAGTGCGAAGAGTGCAGTGTGAAGTGTGGAGTGTGGAGTGTGAAGTTTGAAGTTTGGAGTGCGAAGAGTGCAGTGTGAAGTGTGGAGTGTGGAGTGTGAAGACTTTGCTTCGTCTCTCGCTGAAAAAATCAAACGGTTGTCGAGGGAAGGACACGGTCGGGACAGGGCGTCTTTGAACTATAGGTCATTTATGTTTGGGAAACTTCCGCCGCCGGCTTGCCCGGGTCTATGTTAGCAATCCCAGAATGAGATTAGAATGGGATGTCATATCTATTAATGGAATATGGGGGAGAATCTATGGATATAATGGGATTACAACTGTTGAATTGGATATTTACCCAACTATTGGAACTATATGTAATGGGAGATATATTACTGTACAGCTCATGGATATCGGGATATCATGATTTGTTCTGGGAGATAATTACAATAATCAATGTAACTAACATGAACTAACGATATGTTTTATCGGATTGTAACCAACTACCTTTGGATAAAGTATAGTTTACCGATTATTATTGGATATTGGATATCAATTGGATATGTACCCATCCAATCCCATCGATCATCTCACCGGGCTGACGAAAATTTCATGACCTCACGGCGTTTTCCGTTCGGAAAAATCATCCCGAAATATGGCGGGTGATGATAAAATTGCGACCGAAAAACGGGTGAATGAACTGATTCGGCGAGAACGGATGCTTTACCAGCAAAGATGTAGGTTTATCATGGTTTATCCACTGAAGTGTCTGTTTTAGCAGCAAATATCAAGGTGATGGACCAGCAATGTGTGTGTTTTACCAGCACGAATGAAGCTTTTTGACCAGCACGCACACAGTGTTTACCAGCAAAAACAGGATGTACCAGCAAAAATCGGATGACCTATTTGAAGTCAAGATTTATTGCAGATCACTGGATTATATCTTTAAGAGATCCCACTCGTTTGGGATAATATCCCAATTACTAGACAGCTACTAATCTTCATGTGTCCTTCCAATCATCTGTCACAAGGTCCGTTGGTGGCTCTTGCACAAAAAGCGGGTTTGAGAGTGGTGGAACAAGGTTTGAAAACTGGTAAGATCCATTCGTTTCAAATCAGTTGAACAAATACTTGGTTTGTTAATCTTTTGTTTGTGGCATTGTTTGGGACCCCAAAAATGCGTAGGTGAAGTTGCTGCAGTGATGGACATCAATTTCATTGTGTTCTGGTTCAAATCCCATCGTGGAATTGGATGAGATCACTTGAGGAAAGCTCCCATAATTCCTCGGGAAAAGACAAAGCAGCGAAATCCAATCAGGAGACCATCTAGGCACAGCCACCAGATTTGCCATGCTGAAGCCGCGAGTCGCCAAGCACCAACCAAATCTTTGCGAAAATCAGCACCAACCAACATGGAAAATGGGCTGACCACATGTTCAAAACTCCCTGTCTTGGGTTGGGCTGGAAGGCACCTTCAGTGCCTCAAAACCCCCAAAAAACTCAAAGAAAGGGAAGTGATGGGAACTGTCGATCTTGTCCCATCCTTCAAAAATGTACTAAATACATTATATATATATATTATATATATAAATATATACACATTTATATATATATATATATATCATATATATATATATATATCATATATATATATATTATACATATATATATATATATTATACATATATATATATTTACATATATATATATTTTTTACATATATGTCATATTTATCATACATGAATGACTTATCCCATCTTCAAAAAACCGACATGTGCCATCCAAGGAGCGCGGTCGCTGTCACCCATGACAGCATCAAACGCTACGGCGGCTCCACGGCTCCCACAATGCCTTGGCCCGCAGAGGTGGAGGGACCATGGCCATCAAAATGGGGATGACTTGATGGTTGATTTATTGGTTTTACCTATGTTTACCTATGTTTAACAGTCACGCTGTTGAAATGTTTGTGGGAAAGTATCTCTAGAAATGGGTCATTAGTTTAACAGTTGCTTTTTTCGAATTATCTATTGCAATATCGGATGTATATCATCGGCAAATTGGTAATGTTTCAGGGCCAAGACGTGTGAAGCCAAAGGTTGTAGCAGGGACGGAGAAGGAAGGAAAGGCAAAGGAGGTGGTGAAGGATCGAAAATTTAAAAAGTTGTGTGTGACAAAGTGGAATGGGAAAGATGGTGTGTGACAAAGAAAGATGGTGTGTGTGTGTGTGACAAAGCAGTGTGTGAAAGATGGTGTGTGTGAAAGTTGTGTGTGTGTGAAAGAGAGCGTGTGACAAAGTTGTGTGCGAAAGATGGTATGTGACAAAGTGGTGTGTGAAAGATGGTGTGGCGAAAGATGGTGTGTGACAAAGCTGTGTGCGAAAGATGGTGTGGTGAAAGATGGTGTGTGACAAAGTTGTGTGTGAAAGATTGTGGTTGACAAAGTTGTATGTGTGAAGGATGGTGTGGTGAAAGATGGTGT